TTTTTCCATATGGATCCACACAATAGAAGCATCCCTTGTTATAGATGGCTTGGATCGATCCACCGAATAAACTTGGATCTCGTATGAAAACATGACGGGTCCAAGTTTCTTGTCCCACAAGCAAAGTGTCAATACGGACGCCAAAGACGCTAGGCATCCTATAGGTGAAAACAGTGCAATCAGGGGAGGTGGGGGAGGCTGAAAACGCAGCAGCAGTGATAACGCTGTGGTGGTATGGGATGTTGATTCTTTGACGTGAAAAGGGGTTGAAAAAGAAGAGTGAGGAGGTGTTGCGAGACTGTACGAGCAACCAACCAAACCCGGATGCGAGACACTCCGTTTGGTCCTCAAGTTCTGGAAATTTGATGAGCTTGGAGTTGGAGGTGTGGTTTTTAGGGTTTAACCAAGCATGATTTGATTCCCCAGAGAGTTCTCCAAGCAAGAACAACATGGGAATGTTTTTGTTGGTTTCAGATTTTTCCTCTTCGTGATGAGATTCATAGAGACATCCCATTATCGACGCAGAAGAATTTGGAAACGGCAAACAAAGAGGAAGGAAAAACTTTGAGGACTAATGAAAGTGATAGAATTGTACAACTTGTTAAGACTTGAGAGTAAAATCGCCAAATATATAGAGGCTTAATCCTTTCCCAACTTGGAAAGGAAAATATAAAGTTAGTGGGATTTCTTATTAGGTGAGTAGAGTTTTGAATTGGTTCATCTTTGGGTTTCTAAATTCTAAAAGGTTTTGCTCATCCAAATTCTGTCCATATGAAACGAGGAGTGAGGCAAAAACCGGGATCCTTCAAATTTGTTTCTTTTATACAAGCAAAGCAACAGTAGGGATCTCTCTAATTCGACATGTCAATAGTATCAACCTCGAATTTGTAATTTTACATTGAAAACTCCGTAACTATGCCTTGGAGCCCAGAGGGAGCGTTTCCTCCCACAAGGATTGTGTTCTAAAAAGAGGCAACGCGAGGCCCAAGGCATATGCCTAGCCTTCCGCCCGGCCCAATATTTTTAAAGACAATCCAATCCAACTGTATTTCTCGTATTTACAACCAAACAGAAAAGAGAGGAGGCCCATCATTCTAGATACGAAGGGAAATAATGTTTAAGCAAAATAAGATTTTGCATATCTTTAGAATACGAAAAGCACTTCTGAAAAAGGATAAAAAGAAAAAAGGAAACAGGTTTTGATTTAAATACAGACTACTGGAATTCCAAGCATTACGACTGTGGATTGCAACCTGCTTAGCGCTTGCCAATCATTCACAAGCAATCTTGGTGTCAAAGCTGCTCAGACAAATTGCAAATGCCTGAAAGGCTGAGATTGGATACTGATAATCCATGGTGAATACATCCTTGCCCACTTTTCCAAACTGGAGGATGACATTCTCATGCTCCTGGCCAGCAGCAACTCCGTTCTCTGGGGAAGCAACAAGCTGAAAATTCTTGACGGAAGCAACTGTTACTCGTCCATTGAAGTTGAGACACCAGCACTGGAGTTGTTCATGCCACCTAGGTGCCTTGTTCCTCAATACCAGCATACCTCCATTCTCGCCAGACTCGAAATTCTCCATCCGGGTTGATGTTGATCTGAAAAAAGGGAGGGATGGAAAACTATCTGGGTTGCTATGCAGAAATTCAGTCTGTGTGGGTGCCACGCCTCCTGGCTCAACAGCACGGGCAGGGATGGCATCCATTACACACTGCATTCTCCTCGGACCTCTGATTTTGATGGCAAATCAATCACAGTATTTATACAAAACATTACTTGAGAAAAGAAAAAGGAAAGTTATGTTTCTTGTACCTGGAACCCAAGACGTTCAACTCATAAGCAATGTGGGCCACAGGGTAGTTGCCAGCAGGAACCCTGGGGGAGACTTGTTTCATATTTACAAGCCTGGTTGAACGACATTTAGTGACTTTGGCTCCAGTATTAGTAGGTTGCGCATCATAGATTGTGAACTTAGTGCCCAGAAAATTTGATCTGTTCAAGGAAAATGGGATGATGAACTTAGGCCTACAAGAGGATCAAGAACTAGTCATCTCACAGGCCTGATAAACATACCTGAGCTTTCCGACAAAGCCACTGTTCCCTTTTGACACATCCTCAGCATTTACAGAGATGATGTAGTCTGTGCAGGTTGGGCGTCTACACTTTTTTGCAGCAAGAAGGAACTTCCCATCATCAGTTGAGGCTGGCAAGTACAAAAGCTAAAACAATTAATATTAAAAAATTACATCTTAGAAGGAGACTCTAGAAAACTTAACCTTGTTTTCTGTGTTTTAGTAACTACGTTGTTAACAACCAAATTACTTAATGAAATCCAAAATTAAAACCACATTACGAATCCTAACATGAGCATTACAGACAATGCAAAGAGCACAGTAATCCCAGCAAAAGCAACATTAGATCAGCACAATCATTCGGGACAAATATTCAGTAAATCACCTTGATTTAAACCCAGAAAAAGATAATATGTCTGGTTGCTACGACTCCGTTTTATATAACACTGAAGAAGGGATCCCCTTTGACCAGGCTGCAAAATATAAGCAAAGACTTCAGTTGTTATTTAAATTGATAACAATAAGATTAACAATTCTTAACTCCTTAATAAGACTTTATTGCCGGAAAAATATTTATGAAAATGTTTTGCTGAAGATATGAGAGGTAGCCTTAGTAGTTTCTTTTGCATGCACATTTCAATATAACAATCATCAATCAGCCATTATTTGGGAAGCTACCATTGCTACATACAATATAAGGATCTTTTCCTGACTCTGCAAATCAATTTCAAGATATAACAATGTAGCTCATCAAGCTAAACAAAAAAATACAAACCAGAGGGGTATGTTATAACAAGCAACAGATTAAAGGTAAAACGAATACATTATACAATTGAACACAATTAGATAAAAGCATGAACAATTTATTCTTTGTAGGAAGGATATGGGCTACTATCTCAAACCTGCTTCAAAGAGATTGGGAATGTCAGCTTGCCCGAAACTTCTGGGGATTTCACAATCTCTTTCATGATTTCTCTCCAATTCTTGCAAACACCAGCACAAGAAACTACATTTTTCCGCGGAGGCCATGTATCATCAGATGCCTCTATTCTCATCAACACATCCCTCAAAAGCTCCGGTGGCATGTTAGCCCAACAACTCTGCTTCAAAGCATCAACTCGAAATGAGGTGGTATCCTGAACCACCCGTTGAGACCTTGATCTTATACCAAATTTCACATCAAAGCTTTTCCTAGAAATGCTCCCAAACTCACCTTTCATATCTTGAAATATACTCTTCAAAGACATCACTGAAATCCCAGAAGCCTGAAATGCTAAAAGCTATACTTTTAATCAAAGGGTACAACCGTTGATTAAAAATGTCTTCCCTCAAATGTGAATATCAATCAGCACAATTCACCACAAAATGTTACATCCGCACTCCATTTTTCATCCCAAGGTCTTATATACACAGTTTTCAGCCACTGATGCACTGTTTGTAGATCTACAAAACTATATTCAACCGATATATACTACACTGATAAATCCAATAACCCAAAAACTATAGATCAACTAAGATAAACCGCCAAATCGAATCAAAGTTTGTCACTTTTCCATAGATCTCTCTAGAAATACTTTCAAAAAACACCCTAAAAGAAAATGAATGCCAAACATTCCTGATAACCCATGAAAGCTTTACACTTTTACGGAGATTGAACCACACAAACCTCGGAGACCAGCTTACAGGAACATCTACAACGCCTGGTAAATACCAGATTTTGAGTCAGGGAGAGGGACTGAAACCCATTTTCCAAGGTTGGCAAATGAATGTAAGCGCCGAGGGCTGTAAATTAGGGTTTGGTGATCAGTGTTTTGTTGTCTGTGCTAGAGTCCCCGAGACAAGTGATAGGTGATGAATGATAGATCCTGTTACCAGTACACTCTCTTATCCAAGCTACTTCTTATTGGGCGAAGTCGATTGGTTCCGGGTTTGGATAGTTTGGAGGAATTGAATATTGGCTCAAGTTTAGCCCAACCCAACAATGAACAATTGTTTTGCTTTAACATTATCGGAACACGATTATTCTTGCAGTGAATTTAAGAAAACATGACATTTGAACTTGACCCAACAAAGAAAAAGACATTTGAACAAATCTGACATGATAATCTCATGTGGCACAATTAAGTGCAGTCCGCATAAAAAATAAAAATAAAAATTGAGTGCAATTAATGCAAGTCTTTGAACACTTATGTATTGAGCCGTTTGATTTAACGACTATATACAATTCAACCGTTAAAAATTTTTGGCCGTTTAATGGCATGTGAATATTAAAATGATATAAACTTTTAGTGGCGCGCAATATGAATGACCCAATGAGTATATATCATTAACCAACAACGTCAACAAAAAAAGAATTACAAAATACATTTATCATCCACATATTTATTGATTTATATTCTTCTTAATACGAATTAGTTTTCTTACATTAAAACAATTCACAACCTTCTCTTGATGAGAATGTTGTAGTAGTTTTTTTGTGGACATTCTAAACTTAGTGATAATGTTTTAGCAGCAGTTGTTGTTCATTCATAAACAACAACTGCTGGGGGGTTTCTCATCTTTTTTTTTATTTTTTCTGTTGATAACCGATAAAAATAAGGTTAGTTTTTGTTTTTCGTTTTTGTTTTTTGTTTTTTTGTTTTTTTGTTTTTACCCAAGAAAAAGAGGTAATGCTACGGGCACCAACTCCTAGACCCAGGGTAGAAAGGGCAAGACATTCACAGGTGGCAGTTCTTGATTGGCAGGCTTTCAATTAAAGATTTTACTTTCCCTTTTCCAAAGCGGTAACAATACTCGCGTAGGGTGTACAACAAGGTTAGAGCTGAGCTGGGGCCCACTTACTCGGACGGCTCTGATTCTCCCGCGACTTCAACGCTATAAAAGGACTTCGTCTTCTTTCTTTTCTTTCGCGGTCTTTCAAGTCTCTTTTTCTCTGGATTCTTATTTTCTGCTTCGCAGTTCTTCTCTCTCCCTCTAAAACTATTTGACTCCTTTCTCTCTCTAAAAGTCAAATTTCATCTCGTCTTGCTGTAGATTGCGCGGCCATTGATATTATAGAGGTGCGCACTGTTTCTTTTCCAGTCCTGTTTGGTTTCATAGAAAGTGGAGTGGAGGAAAAGAAAAGAAAGTTTTCATTCTAATGTCTTTAAGCCTTACGCTCATGACTTGTTTTCGTTTCTATGTTTGAATTTTCATTGAAGTAATTTGATGCAGAGTTATTGGTATCTGGAATTTATTTTCTTATGAAAGTTTGAGCATTATGTATTTTTTGAGTTGAGCCTTTGTGACGATTTGAGTTTAATTTTATCAGGAGCTTGCAGAGATTGAGTGGCTCCATCTCGATGGGTTTCCCTTTAGTCTCTGCTTTGATGAGACTGGGGGTGAAATCGACCACCACCGACGAAGCTCCCATAAATTCCATAACTTTATTTGTGGTGCTCCTTTGTTTTTGCGTTGTGATTGGTCATCTTCTGGAGAAAAGTCGATGGATGACTGAATCAGTCACTGCCCTTCTCATTGTAAGTTCCTCCAAATTAAATGCTCTAGCTTTGGTTTACTGAATCACATGTCATTGTTTCGGAATTTTCGGATGATTTTTTTATTGGGTTTGATTTGAATGCAGGGCCTTTGTACTGGAATTGTTATTCTTCTAAATACCGAATGGAAAAGCTCACGCGTCTTAGTTTTTAATGAAGATATTTTCTTCATATATCTTCTGCCACCTATTATATTCAATGCTGGGTAAGCCATGTATTTCATATCAATCTCATCTCAGCCTTTTATATTCAATGCTGCCTCATAATGATCGTCAAGTTTCCTGGTTTCATTATTTTCCATACCAGATTCCAGGTGAAAAAGAAGCGCTTTTTCCAGAACTTCATGACAATCATGCTGTTGGGTGCTGTTGGCAGTTTTATATCATTTGTCATTATATGGCTAGGTAAGTTATAAATAATCTAGCAGGTCAGTATAAGGCTGATATTGCAAGAGAAACTCACCAAATCTACGGTTTATGATGGTTGCAACTTTTGTAATTTTGATCCAGGTTCGTTGCAGTTATTCGAAAAAATGGACATTGGTTTCCTGGAGATGAACGATTATCTTGGTAACCTCTCTATTACTTTCTCATTTTAATCTACATAAATTTTGTTGTGTAATTACACTCTTGTTTGAGTTCATATTTGTGTTGTATTTGAAACATTTATTACTTCTTATTTTTGCCCCTTTATGCTCTTATTTTTTGTTTCACTTCTCTACATGTAGCACTTGGAGCAATCTTCTCAGCTACAGATACTGTTTGCACCCTTCAGGTATGTATATTTTCCTCATGGCCTTGTTTATTGAAACATAAAATCAGTGGATAACTAAAATTGTAAATCATTATTAAGTTTGTATCTGATGTGGCAGGTGCTTAATCAAGATGAGACGCCTTTACTGTACAGTCTAGTCTTTGGAGAAGGTGTTGTAAATGATGCCACATCTGTGGTACTTTTCAATGCAATCCAGAGATTTGATCTCTCTCACATCAACTCAACCATTGTGATGGAGTTTATTGGCAATTTCTTATATCTGTTTCTGACAAGCACATTGCTGGGTATAGCTGTGAGTCTTTGTGCACATCCTCATTTTCTCATGTTCATATTATCAGCTTTCGTGCATGACTGATGGCATTAGGGAGATTTCATGGTAGACCTAGACCGAAAAAGAAACAGAGAAAGATGGGAGTTCGGTCAGGTTTATAATTGTACCTTGGAAGACTCATTTTCTCATCTTCTCTTTTACACTTGCAGGTCGGATTGCTTAGTGCATACATCATGAAGAAGTTGTACCTTGGCAGGCACTCTACTGATCGTGAAGTTGCTCTTATGATTCTAATGGCTTATTTGTCATATATGGTGGCAGAAGTAAGATTTTGATTTACCCTCTTGGACTGAAAGCTCAATCCAGTTTGGTTTTAGATATTGACTGGTCTTTGACTCTGTTAACAATGACAAATTTTATTCATCTTCCAGTTGTTCGATTTAAGTGGCATTCTTACTGTTTTCTTCTGTGGGATTGTCATGTCTCACTATACCTGGCACAATGTAACCGAAAGCTCAAGAGTTACAACCAAGTAAGCCAACTTTTCCAAAAGTTTAACATAGCAGACATGTATGTGTGTATAAATATACAGAGCATGGACAAACAAGTCACGTGTCTGTTTCTTTCTCATGTGCTGTTTTCACAACTGCAGGCATGCTTTTGCAACATTATCATTTGTTTCGGAGATTTTCATCTTCCTGTATGTTGGTATGGATGCCTTGGACATTGAGAAGTGGAAATTTGTAAGCCAGAGGTAACACCTATATGTATACAAATGGACAGTTTGATAGTATTGTTGATGACTTTCCCTGCCGCCCAACCCTCCCATTTGTTTTAAAGTCATTAAAAGCTTATTTTTCTGCTTATTTTTTAACAGTCCTGGGACATCAATTGGAGTAAGTTCGATATTACTTGGCCTGGTTCTGATTGGAAGAGCTGCTTTTGTATTTCCCCTATGTTTTGCTTCGAACTTAACTAAGAAACATCAGAGCGACAAAATTGGATTTAAGCAACAGGTTAGCTATTTTGGTATCTGTTGTTGAAGTTTTCAGCCTCTTGAATTACTTAGAGACTGATTCATTGACAAAAATCAAACAGGTAACAGTATGGTGGGCAGGACTCATGAGAGGTGCTGTATCTGTGGCTCTTGCTTATAATTGGGTAAGGAATGGATCAAATTTAATGACTTTACTTTACTACTTGTTTTAATGTAACCAAGTTTTTAATATGCTGTGTTTTTCAGTTTACAATGTCAGGCCATACTCAACGCCGTGGAAACGCAGTCATGATCACTAGTACAATCACAGTTGTTCTCTTCACCAACGTGGTAAAATTCCTTATCCACTTTAAAACTTTTACTTGTTGTAAGACTGAGGCCTGCTCTTTGCCTGCTTATCACTTAAGTCGGTGTTTGGCAATTGCAGGTGTGCGGATTATTGACTAAGCCTCTTGTAAGGTGGTTGTTGCCACAACATAAACATTCAGGCAGCATCATGTCCTCTGAATTATTATCATCTGAGACGTCTCTGGCTATGCCACTCCTCACTAATGGGGACGATCTAAAGTGGGATATGCCCGGTGATAGAATTCCCCGTCGAACTGTTCTGCGTATGCTCTTGATGACACCGGTTCGTTCTGTGCATTACTACTGGAGAATGTTTGATGACAGTTTCATGCGTCCTGTCTTTGGCGGTAGAGGATTTGTGCCATTCGCTCCTGGTTCACCCAACGAAGACATTGTGCACCAATCGGTAGTTGGGGAGCAGCAGATAGTAGAGTAATATTATAACTTGAGGACTGATTGTTTTGCTGGGTTATATATTGGTGTAAATAGTCAAAATTATAACTTATAGGCAGGCCTCCCTCCCTGAGCCGTGTTGTATTGTACATATGCAGACATTATGGAACTCAAGGAAAGAAATGGGATTAACAGTACTCTGACCAGCAGTCAAATTCTTATTCTTTTGACAGAAAAGTTAGTAGATTTTGTAGCATGCCTATAAACATATAAGGTCATCTGATTTTGAATGAGGAAAAGAACAAGATTCTTTCTCAATTAAACTTTCATCAAAGTAAACTATTACTTCAATTAACGATTATCTTAGGTGTCAATTTGGAAGTAAATAACAAGATTCGAAGTAACAGTTTAAAAAGATGATTCGGAATTCACGTTACAACTCCTCTCAGGGAATCAAATAAACATAAACTCAGCAACTTTTACATAAACATGGCTCCAAAGCTAAAAATAACAGCCAACTTCAAAAACAAATTGGATCAGAAAGGAGGAGGTCCGGGAGGACCATATCCGCCACGAGGGCCGCCAAAGCATTCTTGGAGCAAACCACAGCAGCACAAGCAGTAGAAGCTGCAACAACAACACACTTCAGATTTCAGTTCATAATTAACTTCACAGGCATATATAGACAACTTTGCAAGCAAGCACTATCTAAATAACAAAAAGGGTCTTACGAATTTACAAAGAATAATCATTCATTTGAAACAAAAATTCAAATGGGTGTTCATAAATCATAATTACCAAGAAGACACCAGGTTGCACAATCCATCACCAAAACCCCCAAAAAAGCCAGGTCCACCCCAGAAACCACCGCCACCCCATGGCCCCCCAGGCCCGGGGCCCCAGCCACCAGGTCCTCCAGGCCCGGGGCCCCAACCACCAGGTCCTCCAGGCCCGGGGCCCCAGCCACCAGGTCCTCCAGGTCCAGGGCCTCCCCAGCCACCTCCTCCTGGCCCTCCACCTCCACCGCCAGGTCCGCCAGGTCCCATAACTAACCCTTTATCTCAGAGTGCCAACTGCCCAGCAAAAGAGAAGAGAACCTTCAAGTCCGGAGGTGTAGCTGAATCTGATGATCCTTGTAAGAACAGAAAACCAATGCCGAACTAAACAAGTTCAGTTGAATGTATATAAACAAAAAATGTGGGAAGTGGGAAGAGAGAGAGGCCGGCAGGCAGCGTGAGCTTACTTAACCTGGAAGCAAGCATTTGAAGATATTATTTACAAACACTTCTACCAACTCTTCACTCTAAACCTGCAAGTCAAACCACACAACAAGACAACTATCCTTCTTCAACTTACCAGTCTTACACCTTGCAATCTATATGTTTGTCGGCGAGAAGGATAAAATTCGCCAGGAAATCTCTATCCCGGAGAAAACTCGTCGGGAAGGATCAAAATTCCCCTAATTGGGATGCCACTTTTATGAAACTTCTAGGCTCTCTTTTTTTTTTTTTTTCTTTTCATTTTGCTTCTCGTTGGTTTCACTTTCAGGTTCATACATGAGCACTGGTTCATGCATGCCTCACGCTGCACCAAAATTACTGCCTCTGAAGCCCAATCGCCCCAAAAGGATGAGCTATAAGGGGGTTTGCTTAGTAGGATGACAACATGTGATACTGATTAAAACCTGATTTTTGCCACAAACTCTTTTCTTTTCTCGCCATTTTCTCAGCAAACAAACAGTATATACTCGTTTATGGTGTTAAAAACAGAGTTTTAAAGAGACAGAGAGAAAAGGGGGCCTCAGATTAGCATATTGGCACATTCCTCATCCCAACGACAACCCATGCGCATAACCGTCGTCGCTGCTTATGGCCTTTATGCTTCTCATCATCAGCGATTACTCAATTCCGGAAATCCAAAAATCCTGTTTTTGCCAATTTTTGAACACCCTTAACCGAATTAACCCACACAGAATCAATTTTATCATCACAATAAATATAAATAAAAAGAAAAGATTGGATCTTTCTCAAATTAAGAACTCACAAAGACAGAGAGCAAAACTCCGATTAGGGTTTTGAAAAATAACACCTCCTTCCGTGTCAGAAGCTTTGCTTATATGTAGGAAAAATCAAGGGTGAGTTTGGGATTGCCGTCAGTTAAAAAAAAAAGAAAAAAGATAATTCTGTTGTCTTTTGAAAATAGTTATTTGTATAGTAAAGTAGTTTTATATTTGGTACACAATATTTTAAAAAGTGTCGTTAGTACAAAAAATAATATTAAAACCGTTTAGTAAATTTTAATATAAAATTATTGTAACTGTGAATAATAACTAAAATAGACATAACGAAAATATTATGTGTTAATCATGTGGTAATAGTGGTGGTGGTGGGGTGGTTAAAAAGATGGAGGTGAAGATGGTGGTGAAAGAGGTGGTGATGAAGGGGGAGGTCGAGGTTGTGGGGATTGCAGTTGTGGAGGTGGAGGTTGAGGATGAGGATGAGGTGGTGGTGGTGGCAGCGTAGCGGTGATGGAGGTGGAGGTGGAGAAGGAGGTGGTAATTTTGGTGGTGATGGTGTCAGAGAAGGAGGAGGATGTGGTGGCGGTGGCGGTGGCGGCAGTGGTGGCGATGGAGGTGTATTTTGGGAATTTAAAAAAAGTCATCAAAGGATCATTTCTGCTTCTTTTGAAAGTAGTTTTGAAAAGCAACTCATAACTTGCTTTTAAACGCTATTGTCAAAAGGCAACTGCTTTTAAAATACGGGATTTTTATTTTTACCAAACACCTTAAACTGCTTCACTTTAAAGTGAAGTAGGTTTTTGACCAATAAAACAATCCTAAACAGGGGTGGTGCCCTTGCAACTTTATGTGCTTCCAGTTTTACCCCTAAGTGAATTATTATTATTATTATTATTTTGATAAAAGAGTTAATAGTTTAAATTAGGCTTATTTATAACAATGCTCCCCAAAACTACTATTAAAGCTCACTTTTACCATTAGGCTTATTCGAACTTGTGTGTAAAAATACGAGTTCACTGTCTTCACCAACAACAAGACCTCCAATTCAAGCAAATTGTAACTAACAAGGAGAAGAGTATAGATAGGTTGCAAGAATTGACAAAATACAGACATTTTCGCAAAATATTAAGGTCATGTTTGGTATTCTATTAAAAAATGTAGATTAAAAAACTATGATTCTTTTAAAAAACATGAGTTTTCAAATAGTGATTTTAAGATCTAAAAACTTATTCAGTATTGAACTCCAAATTATTTTTAAGATCTAAAAAAATTGAAATTAAAATCAGAAAATTAGAAAAGAAAATGTGTGTGAGAGAGAGAGAGAGACGAGAGAGGGAGGAGAGGGAATATATATATATATATATATATATAAAGTAAAAGGTAGAGAATTGTAAGGTCATACTTTTATGGAACATAACTACCCATATTATATTTTTCTTAATTCTAAAAATAAAAATAAAAATAAAAAAAAGAATCAATTGGAAAATGCGTGAGCGTGTGCCAAGGAGCTGGTATACATAAAATCTTTAAAAAAAAAAATAATAATAATAATAATGAATGTGTTTTTGAGTTTTTTTTAGGTTTGAGTCTTTGAAAATGGGTCTACCAAACGAGTTTTTGTGAGTTTGGACTTAAAATATATTTTTGAGTTTATAAAATTATATCTAAATAGGATACCAAACATGCCCTAAAAAATTTATTTGGATTATGCTAGTTAGTGAGGACAGTAATTCTGTCCTCTTGAACACGAGTTTGAATCCTCTCATTTAATATTATTTGTATAATAAAACAATAAAAGATTCAACACACATTATAAAGATGGGCCTCACCCCTCGGATATCAATGTAAGGCCCATGCGCATATAATAACCTAACCCAAACCCAAACCCAAATGTCACAAAAATTGGTCTCCATTTCCAATTGGCAAACCTTTCATCCTTTGGATTTGCATATAAGAACCAAACCCAAATGTCACAAAAATTGGTCCCCAATCCTCTGAATCTGGATTGGACAGAGAGAGATAGAGAGAGAGAGAGAGAGAAATCCCTTGAATTATTGGTCCACTCTTAGTTGGACCATTAGTGGCTAAACGTATACGTACGTAGATTAATCAATGAAGTAGAGCCATCAGATCAGTTGGGTAAGTTTTAACCATCAGGATTCTCAGGACCACGACACCTATAGGCTATACATAATATTTAAAGTTTCCACCAGAAAAGTGCACTTGGCCCATGACATAAACTCCTCAAAAACCTACAGATGGAATTGATAATAACTCACAGAGTTATAACGTCTTGGTGTGAGGTCTCACCAACTAGCTGCAAGCCAACCATCATCAGCATTAAATTGAGATATTTACTCATATATTTATTCTTAACACTAATAAAATAAATAAATTCTACATTATTTAATGTCTATAAAAAAATGACAGGTTGTTCTATTGAATTTAATTTTTATTATTAAATTACTTTGATGTCCTATTGACTGTTTCGGGTTGGGTTTGTTTTGAGAAATCGATGACAATTTTGTAATTTAAAAGAAGTTAAAAGTCTTTTTGTTATGTTGTAAATGGACTTTTGGTGTGTTTCTAAAGTTCATTTCAAATATATATTTTTTTTATAATTTAGACTCACATATTAGGTATAATAACGAATCTCCATTTCTATATTTTACCCCCCCAACCCCCAACAATCCACAAATGCTTTATTGCACTAAATAGCTGCACCTTTTTTAAAATATACAAACGATACTGAAGCTTAAGAGAATCAAATTAAAATCTCGAGTACAAGAGTAAATGTTGTTACTCAACTAAGTTAGTAAAAGCTTCTTGAGCACTGAAGAGTTACCTAGCAATCTTGGCAGTACTGTTGCGGAGAGTCCATTTCATCTAAGTAATTCATTTTTGAGCAGCTGAATTTTATTTCATGCACACAGAGGAGACTGATAGTTGCAGGATGACAAAAAGGAGGGGGTTTATAATTAATCCTGCCCTCGCTCACACTATATATATTTAACATATCAAATCATTAAAACCAATTATATTTTGTACAAGACAATACATATCTGGCTATTGACCATTGGCTAATTATTTGGGGCCTTCTCATTAAACCCATCAGCTCAAGCGTGCTCGGGGGCCGAATCTTAATTTGTCCTGTTGTAGACAAACTAAGCAGAGAAAGTTTCTAGGAAGGCTGCTGATAGAACATGGTGCCGCTACTTTTCTTGGTAAGACCTACACATCCAAGCAGTACTTTATTTCTACGCATGATTGATTGTGCATGTCAACTAAATATTAAGTCAGCTACGAGCTGTATCCGATTGTTTAGCATACAATTAAATTGGGCATCTATTGTACGTAAACGAGGTTTAGAGATGCGTTACAGTCAGTCAATTGTATGTAATTTGCGTGAAGAATTCATGTACATATCCATTAATCACTCGATAATGTTTTACTTAAGTGATTGTTGTTAGAATCTCCATACCATCTGTTGGTCAAGTCCAGTTGGTGACATGCTACTCCTACTAGGAACACAATTTTTGTCTTAACCCAGCGGAAAACGACGGCTTCCATTATTTATTTATTTTTTATTTTGTAAGGATGGCAGTTGATGATTAGTTACTATTATTCTTTTCTTCAACAAATCCCGAACCCACATTTTAATCGTGTGTCTGCTTATATCAACGAAATTAGGTAAAATTATACCCACCGCGCCATCTGTCAACGCGCATGATAATTCCGAAAAATTAGGTTAAATTCCAATTTATTTATCTTTCCTTTTTTTCAAAAGCCTACTGCCCCCATAATACGTAACTGTGGAATACCACGTTTCCCTTAGGAAAATGATAACGATAATGATAAAGGCAGTCAACTCAACCATTTAGATTAAAGATAACGATCAGCCAATCCGATAAGGCCACGTAAGTACTTGTACACCTAAAAAGGAAAGCAGGGAAAAGGCCTTTCGTCGGTGAGAGATTAGATAGCATAGTATACAACTGATAAGCCAGGGATTGTCTCAACAAAGACTCTAAAGCCAGCTTCCTTGATGAGTTGTTTCTTGCGTCAAAACCACAGATGGTACAAAGATAAAAAGCTCACGTCAAGTGAGAGAGAGAGAGAGAGAGGAAAAGGTTGTGTCTGTCACTCGAGTTTTTGATTGGACAGTGCAGGCCGGCACTAGGGCAGGCAGACTTTGGCCACCCTCTAGTATTGATCCGGCCAGCTCTTGTTTCGTAGGGACCCCTACGATTGTTGGGCTTTTGGGCTTCGACTGCTTACTGTTTTGCTTTGCTTTATGGGTTACCTTACAAATATGGGTAAATACTACCACCATTAGGTTAGGGTGGGGTCACACACTGCACGTAACTTGTTCCTTCATAAATCACGCAATAGTCGGAAATGCTATAACGAAAGAGTTTAGAATGAGAAAGTTATTTAAGAAGTTTAATCTCACCATCAATAAATATGAGAAAATTAATGAATTTAAATATTTTAAATAGTTTGACGGTGAAATTGAACCCCTTAAATAAGCTCATCATTCCACACTTTCATTATAGAAACTACCCTAAATAGCGGAGTTTATGAATTGCTTTCAAACTGGGTATATATACACACTTCCAACTAATTCGGAATACATAAAGTAGTTTCATTAATCGTTAATTAGCTTTTGATTTTGTGATATTTATCTACACAAGGAGGTTTTAAATTCAACTTACATGAATGACGAAAATAAAATATATTTGTGATGAGTTTGTAACTAGTTAGTTGTAATTAGCCTCTACCGTTTGTCCCACAAAAAAAAACTCTTCATAAAATGATGTATAGTATGCATAGTTTTTATGTGGATTCTCCTGATTAAGTGGGAGCCATCTAATACATGAGAGAGTTGTGTACCCATCTTATCCACCTTTATGTTAATTTTTAATTTTTTAAAGGTGTGGTCAACAATAGTTTGCCACATTTCGTCTATCTGATGCTCACAGTATATAGGCCTAAGGCCAGCCACCGCTCTAGCTACAAGCATAGGTTTTCAGCTACATGCACATCATTATCATATAAAGGCATACTGTTCCGCACTTTGGAAGTAATTGCACATGAGAGAGAGAGAGAG